TCTTGCAAGCCTCCGTGGGCATCATATTGCATTTGAGAACTTCCTGTTTACTAAATCAACTAGTACGAACTTAGCCGCGGATCGTGTTGGTCACATGTGCGAGTGAATTCATATACCGGCGATCGTCAACAGTAACTCGTTCGATTACTCCATTATGCTGCATCATGACGCCAGTCACTGGCGGCCGCGCTGCACATGACGGGATTCCAGATCATCGTATTCCACCCCTAGCTTAGATTCGGAAGACTACTTAGTTTGAAATCAGTAGACTCCCTTTGGAAAGGCCTTGAAGTGGGAGATTCCATTCAAACTTTCATTGGAAAGATTCTATATTGTAGAAGTTGGGATGGCTCAGTGTAGAATATACATTGAGCGGCTCATTTCGAGCCGATCATCAGCTGACAATGGTAATGTCATTGCCATTCCATGTTGGATCAGAGTCCCTGACTGTCTCGCCTGGCCAGGGCCCGCGAAAGACTGCCCACCTATGGAAGACATACTGAGTAATCTAGTGTGAAACAATTATTCTCTAAGAGGTCTGGCTAAATCGAGATTCTCCGCCCAGTACTTGACATTTTAACATGAAGCGAGGTATTTCCTTTATTCGAGACATGCTGGGTCAGAGTAGCTAAGCGACTCTTTCATTCTAACAATCATGAGGCTGTATGAGATGAATAAAAGGTCTCTAACATCGAAAATGCACACTCAGCAAAAGTTTCCTGAAAAATTTCACTCGCGGAAAAAATTGGAAACTTTCACGGAAATTTTCTGCGAAAGTTTCTGTGGAAAGTTTCTCAGACACCCTGTCTGATTGCAAGATTGAAGGCTGAAGTCGGTGTTTATCAATTCACCTGTGCTTGATCAATATATATCACTACCAGGTCACTTCCGCAAAAGCACGGGCTGCTGATGCTGAAGCTGAAATACAGAGGTGTGCAATCATTATCGGTCTTGCGACTACATTGACTTGCTCTCAGGGTACGCGACGAAAGTGGAGGTGAGCGCCGACGTTTGCAGGAACAAGTTGAAAGATTGAAAGCTGAAGTCGGTGTTTATCAATTCACCTGTGCTTGATCAATATATATCACTACCAGGTCACATCCGCAGAAACACGGGCTGCTGATGCTGAAGCTGAAATACAGAGGTGTGCAATCATTATCGGTCTTGCGACTGAATTGACTCGCTCTTAGGGTACGCGACGAAAGTGGCGGTGAGTGCCGACGTTTGCAGGAACAAGTTGGAAGATTGAAAGCTGAAGTCGGTGTTTATCAATTCACCTGTGCTTGATCAATATGTATCACTACCAGGTCACATCCGCAGAAACACGGGCTGCTGATGCTGAAGCTGAAATACAGAGGTGTGCAATCATTATCGGTCTTGCGACTGAATTGACTTGCTCCTAGGGTACGCGACGAAGGTGGCGGTGAGTGCCGACGTTTGCAGGACGATGTAGAGCAGCTGAGGATGAAGGTAAGGAGACTCATCTCACAAAGTTCATACGGCGTTGACAGATTAAAGCAGCTGGGCGGAGGAATCTCGAGTTGGAGGGGTAATTGCTGAGCACTCACAGTGTAACGCTGTGATCCTAATTTCGGTGTTTGTTTGCAGGAAAATATCGACGAATGAGTCATTGAGCAGAGACAAGCAAGATGTACTATACAAAGAGCTGAGCAGGATTAACATTTTACGAGTAAGTCGTAGAGTTGCCTCGTTGAAATTTCGAGCCTTGAATTCAAATTAAGTTGCCCATGCTTATCCGTGTTTCATTTCTTGTGTCTGCTGTGACGCTGCCGTCTTTCTCTTTAGGAAAAGCAGAGCGAAGAAATTCAGTCGCTGAACAAGGAAATTGCCGATTTGAAACTTGTAATAGTTTTGTGTCATTGTGATGTAAAATAGTACAACCTCAGTGCCTCTTACCCCGCAATGAAGGTGGGGATGGTGGGAAGAAATTAGCAGTCCCGAGGTGATCCGTACAAGTTGCCCTGTATGCTCTGCAGTCCCCTGTAGATTGGCCAGTGATCTACGTAATGAGAGAGAAGAGGATGCTACCTCCGAAAAAGGAAAACCGGCTACCTCTAGCTCTGGAACCACTTCAACCAAGGTACAATGGATATCGGGTCAATAACCTAGGACTGTTCAACTCTTGTAGACTCCGGCCTCCCGCAAACGTAGCCGCTCGCAAGACGCCGAAGCGCAGGATCAAAGCATCGGGGATTGGTTCACTAGCTATACTCAACCTGGCGGTTCCACCTCATCGACGGGACGCACGGCGTGCGACGGTCGGACGCCGTTGAAGAAAAAGACGCGGTGCCGAAAGGAGAACTTCGAGCAGTTGAATGTAACGTTCATTGTCTCACCGAGCGGGCAGATCGGGATGAAGATAGTATCCACTATACCCGGAAGCGATTCAGCGCAGTATCGCCTTAAGCTTGGTAACCGGATCGAGATAAGTGGTACACTGGGACCATCCGCGACCACAATTAGGCGGGTGAGGGATGAAATTCTACAGAAGTGGCAGAATTCTCCCTCTAAAACGGCAAGAGTTGAAGTGGAAACCATGGAGTCTATAAATTTCCGGAATTTGAAGTACGATGCTGAATTTCCTCGTTGAGGTAGTACGTAATGGAATATCTTTCTTACCGAGAGCATGCCTTTCAGTTACCACGACCAAGTCTAATTCATGTTCTAGTCTTTAGAACTTCTGTGTTCCAGGGGTGGGAGCTATCTCAGGAATACCCTAGATCCTGAAAGACACGGTTATCCTAATATAGCCATGGGCACTGAAGGACTCCGCTGCACTCAGGTAGTACAATACATAGGAAATTTATATTGTTCCGCTCGGTCGTATATGTCTCTATCGACAGGTCTTGAATAATATTGTTGAAACCTTCAACCGGACTATGGCCAGAATAGTTGGACGAAAACGACTGCGAATTGCTTCTTTTGTACCATGCATAATTCAAGTAAGTGTAGTCTAATTTCCAAAGCCGTTGATGCGAACCTGTATTTCGCAATCACTCACACAGCGAAACTGGCAACATAGGATCAAGCAGGTTATCGATTCAATAACAAGGTCGAGCCCACAGCATTTCGTGAGGAAACCAATGGTCATCAATGAAAGCCGTGGATATGACCATGACACCAAGTTGAGAGGAATGAAGCTATGTAGCAGGAACTGTGTACATGAAGTAGTATAAAATGAGAATCATTGAATGCTCAACAATGGGCGCAGCGGTCTTACGAATTGACATTTTTAGGTGACAAGACTCGTGGAAGACATCACAGGAAGCAACCATGCACGATACTTTCTTGTCGACAATCATCGTCTGCACCAGAGAGATCACGGCCACTCGACTGACGCTGCCATGACCCTTTTTTTGCGAGCAATCTTCCGGCAGGAGATCCCTGAAAGTAACTACAACTCTCGTGGCTGTGCAAAGTCTACACTTCAGTAGCGATCTATCGTTGCGTGAGTATGGACCGATTCTACTGCTTTTATCTCGTCACACAACGCAAATCAT